CAACCCAACCCCCAACCCAACCCAACCCCTTCTCCCCACCAACCTCCCCACGAAACCCCGCTGAGCCCCCGACCCCGCCACCCCTCCCGCGGCGCCCCCGTGCCCCAAACCCACCTCTTGCCCAGGGTGACCCCGGCCAGCTTGATGAGGTCCCTCATGCAGGGGGTGATGAGCACGGGGGGCTCGTCGCTGTCCCCGGCCTCGTCGTAGCTCTCCACCTGCTCCACCACGAACTGGGCGTGGCGCAGCAGCGAGTCCTCCGTGAACCGGTTGAAGTTGAGCCCCGCGGGGGGCACGGTGGTCTGTGGGGTCGGGGGGGGGGTCAAGGAAGGGCTGGTTGACCCCTCCCACCTCCCCCAGTCGCCCCCTCCCAGGATCGGCGAGTTGGGAAAGGTCTCCGAGGTCGGCGGGTCCCAACCGGGGCCTCCTGGGACACCTCCAGGGGTGGTGACTCCACCGCCTCCCCGGGCAGCTCATCCCATGCTCAACAGCCCTTCCCACGGAAAAATTCCTCCTGGTGTCCAGCCCGACCCTCCCCTTGGGGCACAGCTTGGAATCACAGGATCGGCGAGGGTGGAAAAGCCCCTTTTCCATCTCCAACCCCTTTTCCATGTTCTCCAGCCCCTTCTCCTGTTCTCCAATCCCTTCTCCTGTTCTCCAGCCCCTTCTCCTGTTCTCCAGCTCCTTCTCCTGCTCTCCAGACCCTTCTCCTGCTCTCCAGCTCCTTCTCCTGCTCTCCAGCTCCTTCTCCTGTTCTCCAGCCCCTTCTCCTGTTCTCCAATCCCTTCTCCTGTTCTCCAGCTCCTTCTCCTGCTCTCCAGACCCTTCTCCTGCTCTCCAGCCCCTTCTCCTGCTCTCCAGACCGTTCTCCTGCTCTCCAGACCCTTCTCCTGCTCTCCAATCCCTCCTCCTGCTCTCCAATCCCTCCTCCTGCTCTCCAGACCCTTCTCCATGTTCTGCAACCCTTTTTCCATGTTCTCCAGCCCCTTCCTCAGCTCCATTCCTGCCTCTGGACACGCTTGAGCCCCTCAATGTCTGGCCCTGGGGACACCCCTGGGGACATCCTTGGGGACTGACCCCAACACTGACCCCAACACTGGCCCTGGGGACCCCCCTGGGGACCCCCCTGGACACTGACCCCAACACTGACCCCAACACTGACCCCCCAGTGGCCCTGGTGACCCCGCTGGGGACACTGACCCCAACACTGACCCCCCAGTGGCCCTGGTGACCCCGCTGGGGACACTGACCCCAACACTGACCCCAACACTGGCCCTGGGGACCCCCCTGGGGACACTGACCCCAACACTGACCCCC